CCCGGTATTTCTCAGCCCCTCTCTACTACCTCTCTACAGCTCTTACAAATTGATTTACTGTTAATACACTTTTGTTACTCAATGCTGAACCCAGAATCCAGGGCCTTATATGTGTTAACCACCCACTGTACTACTCAGCTACATAACCGGGCACATGCTTGTCATCTCTGCTCTGTGGGAGCAGCATTGTAGGTGTTTGGTTGGAACCTCCAGCTCGCTCATACACATTCTGAGAAACTCCACCTCTCTCTGTCCAAGCCCCGCCCACTCAGAATCTCCAACAAAGAAAAGGCATGAAAAAAAAATGCAGTAATGTATTCTTGGCGGCTGCGGCAGCTCCTCCCCTGAAATAGTCAGCTGCCCATGTCCCCGCCTAAAGTGTTCAGTTTTTTTTGCCCACATTTGGGCACAAACCCAACTTGTGGAAACACTTCATCACCCCTCACCTGTGTTAGTTCCAGGCTGTGACTTCTGGGGGTGGGGAGCGGGCTTGATCTCTGGCACTGGAGCACTCACCTGGGAGTTACTTTCTTCAAATTAGCATGTTCTTTTGCTTTTTCAATTTTGCTTGAGTGGGCTTACTTTGTTGTTAGAGAAACCTATTATCAGGCACTAAGAAAACCTATTAGTAGGAATGTTTGGAATTTGAGGGAACAAGTATCCAGGATGCTATTTACATGGAGGACATTTGAAACAACAACTTGTTTGCTAACTAAATAAATGTTGAGCCTTCCCATGTGGGTGGGGTGGGGTAGGCTGCTGCTGGTGGTGGTGGTGTCTGTAAGGCATTAGGAATTGAGAGTGAGAATTCTTTACAGAGACGGTGGCTTACCCAGGTCCTATAGCTATTTTGTGATTCCAATAGCAGAAATGTAAGCACTGGGCCAGCCAAAGTCTAGTCATTAAAATGATCTGATTTTATCAGATCTGTTTCTTTCTAGCACTAACAAAAACCATAATTAGGGCCCTGAAGATGGCTTAGTGGCTAAATGCTTGCTGCCAAGACTGATGACCTGAGTTCAATACTCACATGGTGGGAGCAAAAAACTGATTCTCCAAAGCTGATCTGCCAAGTGCTGCCTACACACACACACACACACACACACACACACACACACACACACACACAACCACAGAATGAAGGGACCAGACCCTCACTCAGCCCCCCCTGCTTTGGCAGCCATGACAGGTTGCAGAAAACACCCAGCAAGATGTAGGCCTCTGACTGAGCAAAATGTGCTGAATTTCCTGACCTTGCCAACCTCCTAGTCACTAAGAGTTTAGATATCCTCCAAGTGGCAAGGAACCAATCAGAAGTAATCTGGCAGGCTCTGCATGCAGAGCATAGCAACCGCCCTGGGAGGGCCTATAGGACCTAGCAACCAGTTGACCAATCAACACAGGACAAGTCACCCAAGCCCAGAAGTGCACCAATCCCAAGACTGTTGCCTACCCCTAGACACTCTCCTTGATCTTCTCAATAAATTTCCCACCTCTCATCCCCTCCTGGCCTTTCTCACACTGTGTTGGACTGACAAGAGAACTGAGTTAATACAGTTAACTCATTAAACAATAAAAGACTCTCTGCTTTTGCATTGAAATGGGTCTCTTGGTGATTTTGTGGTTCAGAATTTGGGCACAAGAGAAAGTATATAAATGTAAGATAATTAAAGTATGATTAATGTTGTGGTATTGGGGTATAGTGTTGACCTTTCTTTAAAAGCCAAATTAATGTTCAGTTGTACAAAGAAAAAAGGAAGAAATTGTCAAATACTCAAGGCTTTAAGCTTGAGCTCTCTCCCCACCCCCCCCACCCCCCACAACAAGACAGGGTTTCTCTGTACAGCTTTGTATACCAGGCTTTGGTAAAGAATAAAAGTCACACAGCCGGGGCTATGTAGGAAGAACATGTCTCCAAAAATAAATTAAAAAAAAGTCACAAATGTGCAGAGATTCTCTAACGTGTTAAATGTGCTATAAAACAACAAAGCTTCTAAGACTACCTTCTACCAAACATCTAGTATTTCCAAGCCTGGTTTCAGCCTGTCCTTTAAGGCCCCACATTGACTTTGGTACTTTGACCTCTTGCTTGCTATGGTCATTGCCCACTGGGCTTATTTATTGAACTTGAACGACCCCAGATGCTAATGACCTGGGACTTTGAGTTTCAGTGTTTTTTTAAATTTGACACACTGTTAGCTTCGGATTGCCTTTTGGCTAATATCTGTCTTGACTCAACTACTTGTTTGTTGAAATTCTGCCTGGCCAGTCTCTTCCAGAACATTAAGTACAACCTAGACTCCATGACCTGCTCACTCCCACCATATGGGTTCAGGGGCTGAGATTCTTGCAGACCCTGGACATGTGCAACTCCTCTCTGTCCATTAAATTATACACCCAATGTATCCTAGTCATAGTTGCCCTGGGGGAATTGTGTGCCATGCTGCACATTTACATTTCACACTATCAGAGTTAGGAGCTCAGGTTTCCCTCTGAGAAATAGAACTCAGAAATAAGTCAGTGATCATTAGCCACTGAGCAGTTGAGCCTTGTACTCAGAGTTGTTGTGGAATTTCTTTCTCGACAGGTCCTGTCACCCTTGAACCCCAAATGAATACAAAGATGCTATATCAGTTATAAAATTGTTGGCTGATGACTAGGGTTTCTTCCTGGATAGCACTATCTTAATTATTAACATATTTCTATCAATCAATATATTCCCACGTATTCTTATTTTACTGGAGAAGGATCCAGACCTGCTACTCCTTTGTGGTCTACATGGTGACTATCCTGATGGGCTCCCTCTGCCTATGTTTCCCAGAATTCTCCTTGTCTCCTAGTCCCTCCTATCTTTCTGCCTGGCCAATCAGTGTTAATTCATCAACCAATAAGAGAAACATATATTCACAGAAGGACATCCCCCATCACAGAGTTCCAAGTTCTTAATATACATACAATTCATACAGCATAAGACACTGAGCCAACTGAATTGATGCACAGCAAATTTGATCATGTGCTAGCTTGGCTATTCTTTTCATTTTATTTTGTGGTACAGGGGGTTGAAGCTATACGATCACACACGCTCTACCACTATTCTCTGTCCCAAGCCCTCTTTTTCGCCCCTGGCGTATTCTTTTTATTATTTATTCATGTTGGAATGTCCTGTGTATGGCTATTGCTTGTGCATGCAGTTTCTCATAGAGGCAGAAGAGGGCACTGGATCTTCTGGTGCTGGAGATTTAGACAGTTGAGAGTCTCCTGGGCCTGGGAACCAACTCTCATCCTCTTCTAGAGCAGCAATCTTCCGGCCCCACTTTAAAATGATTTACTTTTGTATTTTTTACTTTGGGGTCAGGGTTTTACTCTGTATTCGAGGTGTCCTGGAACTCCTTATACAGATCACATTGGCCTTGAATCGACCCCTCCTGCTTCTGTGTGCCCTGGGCTGAGATTACAGGCGTGTGCCACTGTTGGGCATTGGTTTCCTTCCATCTGGAGAGACAGCTCAGTAGTTAAGGGCACTTGTTCCAGAGGAGGGCTCATGTTCATTTTCCAGCATTCCCATGGGGTACCTGCAGTTGAGGGTATCTGAAGCCCTCCTCTGAGGGCAACAGGCACACAGTGGTGCACATGCATACATGCAGACAAACCACTAGTACATGTGAACTAAAACAGAGAAAGAAAGAAAAAGAACAGAAACAAAGTCTTTGGAGACACAGAAGAAGTCCTGTCTTGAGGAGAAATAAATAGTAGTCTAGAAGAGCTTTACTATAGAAAGTCTCTAGGAAGGTTCAAAATACTTTTTATTGCAGATGACATTGTGAGAAATCATACGTAGACAGAGAAACAGCATTAATTTGCAAAAATAATTAACTTCAATCAAGTTATCAAAAAATAACAAGAAGGCCCTGACCTGGGCCCGTAGGTCATTCTTCAGTGTCAGGGTCGCTGAGAGAGAATGAGGGCATGAGAAGGAAAAGAGATTGGTAAGTTTGGAACGAGGAGGTCTTACACAAGCTATGTGCTATGCCAAAGAAGCTTATTAGGAAATACAGCATCTTCTATGCTGTTGTTAGGGGAGAAATGGGAGAAAGTCAGCAGGAAATGTCATATAGGGGTCAAAGTCAGTAGGAGGCTAAGCAACAATGTTGCAAAAAGGGAACACAGTTTCTCAAGAGCATTTCAGACAGAGCACACAGCAGCCTTGGGACTGATAACTCCAGTGTCTTCAGCAGGGAAAGCCAAGTTCCCAGGAACCAAAACCTTAACTCCTTGGAGGCCCAGGCTTCATCCCCAAACTGGCCTTGCCAAGTCCACTCCTGGGCAAGGTCAAAGAAAGTCTTGGAATGATTGCCTCCTAACAAGGCCCAAGACATTTTCCAAAAATCATGGCTGGCACTCTTCAAAGGCAAGAACTCTCTCTTTTTGTTTTTTTGGTTTTTTGTTTGTTTATTTGTTTGTTTTCGAGACAGGGTTTCTCTCTGGCTTTGGAGGCTGTCCTGGAACTAGCTCTAGTAGACTGGGCTGGTCTCAAACTCACAGAGATCCACCTGCCTCTGCCTCCCGAGTGCTGGGATTAAAAGCACGTGTCACTAATACCCGGCTCAAAGGCAAGAACTCTTAAGAGACAGAGAGAGACAGCCTTAGAGTGAAGTGACACAGGAGGGTTGGTGTCCACATTAACTGTCACACTGGGGAAGAGTATTTTGAGTTCTATATATTTGAACTTCTCTTTTCCATGGTGGGCTTTACCCGAGGTCTTGGTGATGGGGAATGTCCTTCTGTGTATGTTTATCTTATTGATTGTTGAATAAAGTACTGTTTGGCCAATGAGCCAGCAAGTTAGGTGGGACTAGGAGTTGAGGAGGGTTCTGGGAAATGTAGTAAAAAGAAGTCTTTTGATACAGGTAGGAAGTGACATAGCAGGCTGACTCATATATAAGCAGAGACAAACAGGAAGTTGTCGTTTTTCTCTTGCTTTTCCTCCTGCTCTCGGCTATGGAGCTGCCATGTGCTCCCCTTGCAAGAGAAGACACCTGCAGCTGGCGTCCGATAAGGTAAGTCTTTATGGTTGATACTTAAGACTGAGCTAGTAAGTAAGAAATCCTTGTCATTGGCCAAGCAGCATTTGTACCTAGTATACGTCTCTGTGTGTTACTTGGGACCTTAACTTGGTGTCGAGCAGAACTGGGGTGGCCTGATGGAAAGCGATCACATGGCAGCGGGGCTCTAGTGACTTAGCGGAAAGCTTTATTGTTACATCTTGGGGTAAAAACAAATTTACCTCTCAGCTGCACTCCCAGCCCCATAAACTTTCCTAGAACCCAGGTAAATTTAAAGAACATATTTGAAGGACACATTCCATTTCTATTGAATATAAACCACAGGATTTGCATCAAGGGTCTTTTACATTTGTTATTTAGGAGTGGTGGGCACATGATGGGTCACCAGAATGTCCTTTATGCATCTACACCCGGTGACACATCTCTAACAGTAAAGTAAAATTGGTCACATGGTCATGGACCCTTCCTCTCCGTGCAGCACACTTGGCCAGCCATGGGAACTTGGAACCAATCCCTGGAGAGCTCCTGGCTCAGGGCTTCCCACTGTCTGGACAGGGACCTGAGGAGGACACACAGCATACGGATAGAGAGGAGTAGGTACAGCTGAAGGAATGATGGATGCACAGCACAGGCTGCAGAGAAAGGCTAAAATGCAGGCAGGCTAGAAGCACAGGGACCCATCATGATCCCAGGGAAATGGCGCAGGACAGGCAGCAGCCTGGGCTTCCCTCTTTCAGGATGGGACAATAGTTTTAAGGCAACAGCGATCCTTAGCAGCTCTCTAGATTCAGCCATTGCTGTGTGTTTGACATCTCCTGGGTCTGCCTAGCAAGTCTCCACATTGCTAGAGCACTCGCCTTCCCCACAGGTTCTGTGTCTTCCTCTGCCAGGAGCTCACAGCCTGTGACACGGACTCTTTCCTGAGCTGTGTTCAAACACAACTCACCTTGTCACTGAGACTGATGCATGGACTTGAGATCCTGTGACAGGGACTCTTTCCTGAGCTGTGTTCAAACACAACTCACCCTGTCACTGAGACTGATGCATGGACTTGAGACCCTGTGCTGCTGCACTTGTGCATGATGCTGAAATACAGCATGGCCACTTTGTCACCTGTTTCTAGAAAAGTGGAGGGGACCTTGAGGAGGGACATTCTGTAGCTGAAGAGAGATTAGCAGTGTATACCAAGATAAAAAGAGGCCAGCCCTGGACACTGGTAGGGTATGCAGACTCAAGCAAGTGCCACCCATCACTGAATACAGCCAAATCATCAGGTAAAGATTAATAACCCAGGAACCATGAGGCAGTGATTTTAACAAAATCAGAAGTGAACATGTGGGTCTGTGAGTAAATCAGTGGCAGATGTCCTTGTTTGTGGATAAGAGCTGTGGGTCTGAAGTTGGCACAACATAGCAGTAATTCTGACTAGGTGCCAAGTGTTACAAGGCCACTGTTCCACAGCAAAACTGCAGGGATGCACAGAAGCACATAGACCCAGAGCATGGTGGGACATGGCCATCCAGGTGAAGTTAAGTGTGAATTGTGAAATTCCTTTCTGCCCTTGAGCTCCTGATTAAAACAGGACAAAAGTTAAGACGGATATCATGGTGTTATAGGACATTAGCATGCTTCATTAGATACAGTAAGCAGTGAGCAGTGTGAGCTGTATTTCAACTTACTCTTAGATTTGAGACAATGTAGTAATTCTGTAATTTAGGGCTGCTGAACAATCTATCCCCCAAAATCAGTAGTTTAAAGCTACATTTTCTTATTATAATAACAGCTATAGCTGAGAGTTGTGTGGGTTGACTCACCTAAGGAAGGCTATTGTACTTAAAAAAAGAAAAAGAGAAAAGAAAGATTCTCACATAGTTTTTCCTTCTTCTTCCTCCCTGTCCACTCTACCTGTGTGTGCTTGTTTCTCTCTCTCTCTCTCTCTCTCTCTCTCTCTCTCTCTCTCTCTGTGTGTGTGTGTGTGTGTGTGTGTGTGTGTGTGTAAGAGAGATACAGTGATGATGAATACTATAGAGTTGTTTATAGGAGTATGTGTGGGGGCTATTTACAGGACTGTAGGAAACACATTAGAGGACTCCAGATCTCCAGGGAGGGGTGGAGCCTCATAGGTCCCTCCCCTGATTTGTCACGTTTCTAGTCTATCATGAAACTTTGGATTCTTGAACTCTGTGGGAGTCCATGGGAGTGGCTGTTCTTTGTTGGTCCCACCCCCTTGGTAAGAACCATCACCTTATTAAAGTGGCTTCCACACTCATCTGGACTGGAGTTGAGGAGCTGAGAGGAGAAGAAGCCTGGACTCTCACTAGGTCAGTTCTCTCTTTATGACCTGTGTAACTTGTCTAATGTCTGCATCACTGGGAAACGACTTTTCATGCTTTATTTAGCATGTGCTAATTGATTGTACCTAGTAACTGGGTTTATTATGTAATTTCCTCTTATGTACATAATATACTTTGATTGTATTCACTGCCATTACCATTGTTGTTATCTGCAATTCGTTCTGATTCGTATGAATTATTTCTCCTCCTCTTTTCCTTCTTTCTGCCCTTCCTCCCTGTCTCCCCTCCTCCATTCCTCCTTCCCTTTTCTCCCTCCTTACTCTGTCCTGGTCTGCAATCTTCCCTTCTTCTGTTCCTTCCCTCTTCTCCTACTCTTTTTTCTTCTTCTGTTTCTCTGTGTGTTCCCTCCTTCCTCCTCCTATTTCAGTGTCACTGACCAAAGGCGGCGCTTAGCTTTTTTGCAAGGTTATCAGAATGCATGGGTGTAGGACTGTGAGGAGTAGACCTGGATTGTCCGCTCAGGCACACTGAAGATCAATAGCGTTCTTCTCTTCAATTGCGAGTGCCAACCTCACAGAGAACTTTCAGATTCCTCTCACTTGAGAACTTAAATTCACCCAGACGCTCCCAGGCCACCCTCCCAAAGCACTTCCCCAGTTTGTTTTTCTCCTGAATTTGTTTCTGTCATGTGGATTCCCATTGCTTTGCTAATTCTGTTTAAAGAACAAAGGAGCAGGTTTCATGCTTAGGATTTGTTACTTTATTACTGTTATTATTCAATTACCCAAGGCAACCTCTGTTATTAAATGGTAAGCCTGAAAAAGCGAATGGAAAGAACAGTGTGTAGAACCATTGAGGCCCGGGAGATCAGAGGACTGTGGACTGAACCTTCCATCAGATACCAGAGAGAAGGCTGTCTACTCATTTCCTCAGTGACCACAGATGTGTATATGAGGGAAGGATTGGGAGGCCAGAAAACAGCTTAAAATTCTGTAAGAAGACATGGCAGGCAGAAATCATTCTGTGGAAGAAGGAATTGAATATGAACTCTGACACTAACCAGTTAGGTGGCCAGTCCTCTGCTAAGTTCGAAGCCTTCTTCGGGAACATGGAGAAGGCTAGTGGACTCTGTGTGTGCAGCTCTAAAACTGTGAGTTTAAAAAGAGCCTCCACCGCCGGGCGTTGGTGATGCATGTCTTTAATCCCAGCACTCGGGAGGCAGGCGGATCTCTGTGAGTTTGAGGCCAGCCTGGTCTACAGTGTGAGTGCCAGGATAGGCTCCAAAGCTACACAGAGAAACCCTGTCTTGAAAAACAAAACAAAACAAAAACAAAAAGAGCCTCACATCAGCATAGATGTCATTTATAAGATACATGTCCTTGAGAAGGCTGCAAGGCAATAGTCTCAGCAATGTTGTGGAATGACTGCCACATGGGGAGGGTTCTGGAAGCCTCAGCATCTCAGAGTCCCTGTGAAGTCCCCAGTCCTGAAGCTGTCCACTGCAAACCAGAGTTCATGGAGATCACAAAGAAAAGCAAACAGAAAGACAAAAACCATCAGAGCTTTATAATGCGATGCATCAGCTCTCAGATCCTCCAGAGCAGCAAATGTAACCCGAGGGCAGAGAGGTGGACATCTCTCTGAGAATGAGTGATGCTGACCTAGCAGGCAGAGATCACCTGGGCAGAGTAGACAGGGGTTTTCTTCTTGGGCTGCAAGATTTCTCATCCTATGCCCTGGATTATCCTGACTGAGGTGAGGGTGCTTGTGTTGAACTCTCAGGAGCAATTATGTGCACAGCCTGATGTTCTGTTCATGGGTCCCGAAGTCTGCAGTCTGGACAGGATTTAGGCCAGGAAGATAAAAGGCCAAATGAGTTCTCTTCCAGCCATTGTTATCCTTTGGCCTTGAAAACTGCCCAGTGACCATGAAGCTTCAACCACATTCCTTTAAACATAGAACTACATTCGTGTATAAATCAGAAAGAGAGAATTAAAAGGAAAATTAAAAGAACATGAGTTGAGAGGGCACAGATAAGCTGTTCTATGTCTAAGGAGTCTAGTCACACAGGCTTTGACATATGAATATAGTGAGAGGTATGTGCTCTGAAGCTAAAACCACCAGCAGCTGCAGCCTACACAGAGTACATTAACCATTTCCTACCTGGAGGTCCAGAGCTGAAATGGGACTGACACTTGACATTCTGTGGGTCCAGCGGAATTTTCTTTCTGGCTTCTCTGTTTGTGCATCTCAAACAGTTTAGATCCTCTTTGCCTAAAATTGTTAAATGTTGTGACCAAGAGATATTGTATGTCACAACTCTTGAAAAAAATTAATAAAGGCCAGTGAGATAGTTCAAGGCAAGGGTGTTGATTGCCAAGGCTGATGGACTGAGGTCTGACTCCAAGTTGCTTTCTGTCCTCTCTGTGGACATAGTGTCCAGAATGTGCCCACATACACAGAGAGGCCAATATATAAGTAAACAATAAAAACATAGCTGTTTGTAAATGTATAACTGAAACTGTCCCTCTAAGTCTGAGCAATTGAACTCATCCTGGCTTTTCAGGGATCTTGTTTAAGTCTCTCTCTCTCTCTTTTTATTTTTCTAGACAGTGTTCCTTGTAGTTTTGGAGCCTGTTCAAGAACTCAATCTATAGACAAGACTGGTCTTGAATCGTAGAGATTCTCATGCCTCTGCCTCCCAAGTGCTTGGATTTAAGGCGTTCACCACCACTGCTTGATGAATCTTATAAATTTTACAACCACACCCCTGATAGGTCCTCCAGACTCTATTGCTGGTGATTGTGTGTGATTATCTTTTCTGTATAGTTAGCATTCCTAGAAGTATGAATTAGAGCAGTTGGTCTCAGCAGAGGGGAACAGGCCCCCTAAAGGACATTTGGCAAGATCTAGAGGTGTGTTGACTTTTCTTGACTAGGGGTAGAAGGGATATAAAAGTCTCTTGGAGTCTACTTAGTTAATAAACTACATTGCCCAGGATAGCTTCACAGAACCAAAGAATCAGTTGGTCAAAATCGACAATGTAGGTTAGCCTTGAAACAGAGCAACTAGAACTGCCAGGCTTCTACAGCTAGGCCCAGTGACACCTACTTCTTACATTTTGTTTCAGCCCTGAGTGTGAAGTCACGTGCAGATGCACAAAAGGGAACTACATTTAAAGTCTTACTCCCAAGCACTTACATTTTCCACACAAGAAACACCCTTAGGGAGCTGTAGGAATGGCTCAGTGGTTACAAGCACACCTTGCTCTTTAAAAGGACAGGAGTTCAGTTCCAACTGGGCTGCTCAGAGCAATGTAATTCTAGCTCTAGAGAATCTGAAGACCTTTCTGGTCTTTGTAGTCCCTGCACCTATACCTCTCCCCCACTCCTAAAAATAAAAATAGAGCCAGGCATTAGTGGCACATGCCTTTAATCCCAGTTCTTGGATGGCAGAGACAGGCAGATCTCTGTGAGTTTGAGGCCAGCCTGGTCTAGAGAGCCAGGGGCAGGACAACCTCCAAAGCAATACAGAGGAAACCCTGTCTTGAAAAACTAAAACATAAAAAAGTAAACATAGAATCACTTTTAAAGGACTGACTCTGAAACTTCCTATCATATCCCAAGGTAAAGACACTACCCATGACCCATGATGTTGATTTTACAGCCACTGAGCAGCAAGGACCCAGCATGTGGTGCCACTGTGCAAGAAAAAAGCTCAGGGCTTCCTCATCATCTACCTGCATGCACATCTATCTCTCCTGAAAACTTGCAGCAGGGACGGCTCATCACCAGCAAACCTTGTGGTGATAAGATGGAATTCAAATGAGCAAACTGCCCGTTATGCGGTGCGCTCCAAAGGAAGTTACTTCCTGTGATATGAAGTTAATGCATCAGTGTCTCTCCTTTTGGGCCATAGAACAGCATCCAATTTCCAGGGGAAACAACTGCAGCCAAGAGATGAGCCCTTCTCCTATGGGGAGAACTAGGGTTTGTCACAGACAGGGTGACACGAAGCCATTGAAAGCTTCTGAACTGAGCAGCCCAGGAGTGAAGGACTGGGGTGGACTTTGTCTCATCCCTTCCGTGATGGCTCTGCTTTCAAGGCTCAACAGGCTCCCAGTCCCTCATCACTGTAGGACCTGGGCTGCTCTGTCTATGTTCTCAGGGTGAAGGCATATGGTCAGCTGAGTCCTGTTTGTGCAATTGCAGGTTGGTGGTCACTGATGGGGGAGAAATGAGTCAATAAGCCGGGCGTGGCTCCCTGCAAGCCGTCCATGAAGAAGGCAGACTACCCTTCTCTAGTGTTGCATTACTAAACACACCCCAAAGCATCTACCCTGGGACTGATCTCTGCTTTTTCATTCATAGTTGGTGACACTGCAGTGGCTGCCATGTCTGGGAAGCCTGTGCTTCACTACTTCAATGCCCGGCGCAGAATGGAGAACGTCAGGTGGCTCCTGGCTGCAGCAGGCGTGGAGGTAGGTTGTGCACTGTTCTTCAGGAACTGGACCTAAGATCAGTTTAAAATACATCTCTAAGCTGAGAGACTCCACACCAGGGAATCTGTACACAGTTGCATGTTAGATGGTAATCTTGATGTGTTGTGAAGGAGATGGACTGATTTACAACAGTGAAGATTTTACTATGCTCTCTACCAAGGAACACATTCACATTAAAAGATGCTTTCAGGATAAGAAAAAAAATCCAATAACTACTTATTTGGTGATTCATCTTTTTGAGTTGAATTAGTTTGCATACAGAGACATACAGAGATAGACACTCAAATGTTGATTATTAAATGGTTCTAATTGACTATTGCAGATCATGTTATGATATTGTGATTTTAGGTATGGCACTGATCTTTAAAAAGATTACTTATTTTTGGAGATTCACAGTAAAGTGTTTGTAATGGGGACATGTGACACCTTAGGTTGTCTGACATTAAGGTCAGCATCGCAGAGAAGATGGGCACCAAGGTGAACAGGGTGCACCTCAGCTGGTGGTTAATGGAGCTGGAGATGGATGGGTGGAGGATCTTCACATCTTGTGTGTAGTTTTACAGCACAGAACCAGAAAGTTCCATGATAGAAATGGTTTAAAGGGGACAGGAGACTCAAGTGATAGCTCAGTAGTGAAAATGCCATACTGTTCTTGCAGAGGATTCCCCCAGGCTACAGCAACTGCCTGTTCCTCTACCTTAGAGGGTCCCCATGCCTCTGGTCTCCGTGGGCACTTGCGTTGCCTTCTGCTACACTCCTGTAATATAAAAAATATTAAGGGATAAACTATACCAGAAAAGCTAAATAGAGTTAAAATATACACCACAAATGAGAGGCCTGACACAGAAGATAGTAACAAACTGCCTGTCACAGCACAGCAAGACTCAGTAATCAGTTTGTAGAGACTGTCAAATACGAGAGGCAGGACTCGTCGGGAGGGTGTAGGTGGTGAGTAAGACAGAGGTCTCATCCTTAGGTTGTCCCCGTGTCTAAGAGCTTTCTGTTAAGTGTGTGAGTGATTCAAGTGAGTGTGCCAGCAACATTCTGAGGTTTAATGTTTCCACTCCAGCTTTTGAGCAGGAAATTCCGGTAGGCTTTAGTGCTGCCCTCTAGAGGAGCCATTGGGAAAAACACTTCCCAGTTTACACCAGGGCAGCTCAGCAGTTGGGATTTCCTGAGAAGTCATGGACCCTACCAGAGATCTTGCCCTCCTCAGACAGGAGCACAATGAGAGTCCTGTGGAGGCTGCTTTGGTGTCTTTCCTCGGTGTCATGGTAAAGTGTTTACCTCAGCCATAGAATCCCATCTCCATTCCTAAAGGCACAGGGCTTCAGCTGGATCCTTCCTGAATGAAGGAGAGCATAAGAACCAAGATACTCTAGTGCAGGCCCAGGAGGATTGCTCTACACAAACGAATAATTGGGTGCCAGTGTCTAGGTGCAAGTTTGTGTCTCAGAGATGTGTTCTAAGCTACTGAACTGCTGATTCAGCTCACGGGGAGGAGGTGAGGCGTCTGCACAGAAGCCTCCCTCTTCTGTGTCCCAGAGTGACTGAGAAGGCAGTGGGCAGGGGCTGTGAGAGACCCTGGCTCAAACCTTTGAGACTCAACGTGCCCACAGGCTGGCCAGTGACATCATCACCCTCACACCCACCAACCCGGTGACGTTTAACCACCCTCCGTGATGACTGTCACCACTTCCTCCATCTCTCTGAATTCTGTGCAAGTGGTTGAGACTTATCATTTCAGTGCCTACCAGTCCAAGCCGTGGGGTACAGAACTATCTCAAACTGTCTCACCAAGCAAGGTTGAAACTGATTTTCAATCTTTTATAATTAAAAAGTTTCTTTAAACTGTGAAAGGAAAAGAGTGGTTTATTACTCTAGAGGGCTGATGAGATGGTTGGGTGACTAAAGATTAAGTTACATGGGTTCATATCCCAGGAACCCATGTAAAAGGCCAGAGTGGAGCCGGGCATTGGTGGTGCACGCCTTTAATCCCAGCACTTGGGAGGCAGAGGCAGGCAGATCTCTGTGAGTTTGAGGCCAGCCTGGTCTCCAGAGCGAGTGCCAGGATAGGCTCCAAAGCTACACAGAGAAACCCTGTTGTGACCCTGTCTTGAAAAACCAAAAAAAAAAAAAAAAAAAGACCAGAGCAGATTATCACTGGGTATGTACACCCTCACACAAAAATATGTAATACTCATACATAAAACAAATAAATATTCAAAAACACCCACTGGCCCCAAGATATAAGCAACTCTGATATGGGATTAGAGTAATGGTTTGGCTGTTCAGAGTGCTTATTGCACATCCAAACAACCTACCATTTTTCCTCAACACCCACATATTACAGTTAATAACTGTCCATACCTCCATCTTCAATGGAATTTATAACCGCTGGCCTCTGACCTCCAAGAGGGATGTGTTCACATATATAAGACCACACACTCACACACTGACTCACAGGTATGCACACACAAAGACACACAATTGAAATTAGTAAAACTAAATCCTGAAGAAAAGAAACCAAGTTGATCACAGGGACCACGACATGTCATGATGGAGACACAGAAACTTTTATTCTGTTCTCATTGGAGTTAACAGGCTTTCCTGAGAGTCCAAAACCTCAACAGTCAATTTCCCAGTGCTGGTTCTCCAGTGACTTCACTCCCTTCTTAGAACTTAAGCATGGACATAGCGGGGTCAGCGAGGAGGAACATTACAAGAATGAGCAGCTTTGTTGTGATCAACACCCTTTTGTGGATGGATCTAATCTGAATTCACAAGTGGCCATGATCAGACTCCTTTGTATCTCAAAATTTATTTTTAAAGGTTTATTTATTCAATCTGTATACAGTGTTCTGTCTGCATGTATACCTACTGGTAGGAAGAGGGCACCAGATCAAATTACAGGTGGTTGTGAGCCACCATGTGGTTTCTGGGAATTGAACTCAAGGCCCCTAGAAGACCAGCTAGTATTCTTAGCCACTGAACCATCCCTCCAGCTCCTCTCCTTGAAGTTTTTAACTTCTGCAGATGTACTGCCAGATAGAGACCACTCAAGTTGAAAGGCCTACAATGATACAGAAGAAGCTAATGAGAATGCATTTACCTTTTCTGCTTTCAGTTTGAAGAAAAGTTTATAGAGACTTCTGAAGATTTGGAAAAGTTAAGACAAGGTAACACTAAGTATCTGGGTGTTCTCAATGAGGTGCCTGGAAGAAGGTTTACCAGATGGTGGTGTTGGTGGGCAGTCAAGAATGGCAGAGTGATATGATGTAGGTGGTGGGGCTCCATGAGTGATCTGAAAATGGAAAGGTGATAAAAGTGGGATGCAGATGTCTCCAAGATTGTCTGGTGACTTGTGAATGTTTTCTCACCATTGCTGCATCACAGTGAGCTATCTCAGTCAGGCTCACTAAGACTCATTTCTTCAGTCAGTGTTTCACCCACAATGTCCAACAACTATACAAGTACATGAGCATTGATTAAATCATCAGTGTAAAACATCTGGGATGATTTTCTTGAGCATTTTCTTTATGGCTACAGAGGAGTTACTATCCCCCAAAATACAAGCTTGAGGAACTCATGATGGCTCCCTACATAGGAACCTGTCACACAGCACCTTAATGTCACAAACATGATTAGGCTTCCAAACTCCCTACTTATCTCTGTTTGCATGGTGGCCCTCTGCTGTCCCTCCTCCCCTTCCAAATGTATCCAGGGACATGAATTGAATATAAAAACATGCATGAGAGATATAATATGCACCTGGATAGGATAAAGATGAATGAGGGAAGCTCAAAAGCCAAAAGAGGTGGGGAGAGACAAAATGTGAAAAGTAATTAGGATTTTACTCGAGAGACCGGCAGCCAGTCATTAGCTTTCCTTTACCTGATCAGAAATTTCAATACAACTTTTCTGGTTCTGGGAAGTGAGACCTGGACACCTCACAGACCTTTCTCCTTTCTTCTTTCAAAGATGGGAAGTTGATGTTTGAGCAAGTGCCCATGGTGGAGATTGACGGGATGACGTTGGTACAGACCAGAGCCATTCTCAACTACATTGCCACCAAATATGACCTCTATGGCAAGGACGTGAAGGAGAGAGCCCTGTACAGTATATTTCCTGTCATTACTCCAAGGGTAAACAAAGGAAGGACTTGGGTTCCTCCACTGAGGAGCAAGAGAGTGGCGGGGTTTGGGTCTAGGAGGGGGCTGGTTATGGGTATGAACACTTGGGCCAAGGATGCAGGAGTCCATGGAAGAGAGGGGAGAGCAAGGGGGTGAGCTCAGGTGAGTGTGACTACAGCAGAGCATGACGCTGCCAGCACGGCTCAGGGACAGAGCTGCAAACATGATGGGCCAAGGGCCCTGAGCATGGTGGAATCATGACACCAAGGGCTCAAGGCTTCAGTGGCTGGACCTCAGCCAACAGCTTAGGACAAAGGACATGGGGCTTGAGGCTAGAGGAGGACTCCTAGGGAAGGAAGGGGGAAGGAGCTGCTTCCCACATCCCAGGAGTGGGAATAGTGCAGAGCAAGACCCTGAGTTCCCACCCAGTTCTATGGACTGGTCAACTCTATGAGGCTTAGAGAGACTGGCTCCCAGGGACCAGTTTTAGCTGAAGCTTCTAATTCAAGACTAAAGCAGCCAATCTGACTTAACCACCCATGCTGGGACCCACTCTGCTTGAGAAATCCTTCATTCATCAATCACTGTGTGGTTGTATTGCTCAAAAGGTAAATGTGCTGCTAGCCAGCAACACTAGTACAGGAAACTTATATCCATGGGAAATAGAGATTTGGCTTTAATAGTGCCTGTATGGAAATTCTCCTAGCAGCATTATTTATAAATTTCTCATGGTGGAATCAGTCAAGATAAGATATTCAATAATAGATGAAAGAGAAGCACAACATATAATTTTAGCCACGAAAATATAAGCAGTGTTGAAGGAAGCAAAACAAAGGTAATGTGTGATAAGAAGGAAGTGAATCAGTCCTGCAGCAGCAGCTGCCACAGTGCACGACTGGGGGTTCGAGGGGAGTGAGGATCAAACTCTTCTAACACTGGAGGATGTTAACATTGTGGGACTGCTACAGAGGCATTGAAACAGAATACTACCTTTCAAGGGGCCCCCAACGGCAGTGTGTGAAGCTGTGACAAGGAAACTCTTTCCCCAAAGCAGTGTATGAAATGAAGTGTAGAACACTGGAATGTATGTCATGTGATTCAAATGAACAGAGAAATAGGCAAATCTTGATAAATGTTCACAAGGCCATAATCCAGCAGCAGCATGAGCTGGTTATACAGATGCCCTTTGTGAGAAGTGAGTGGAGAACTCTAACACTGACCAAGAATGACTCTGGGCCATGGAGCAGAATGAGAGAGGCACAGAGACCCATCTGGTGGTTCAACCCTGGGCTCTGCGGTGAGCTTATGTGGGAGCCAACTTGCTAGCTCCAGAATCTCAGCATAGTTATTGAGAACAAACCACAGCAGGAGGAGACAGAGAGATACAGACAGAGAAAGAGAGGCAGGAACAGACAGAGAGACAAAGACAGACAGAGAGAAACAAAAACAGAGGGACACAGAGGCAGACAGACAACACACACACACAGAGACAGACAAAAGACACACACACACATACACACACACACACACACACACACACACACTACTCATCTTGGATGCTACCAAGTTTATCATGACTACCATGACTACATCTCTAGATGTGCCAGGTATGGTCTTTGTGCTTTGGATGGGTCATGTGTGTGTAACAGAAATTCTGAAAGTCTTTGTGGTTGGAAAGGTTGTTCTAGGGATAAAGTTTATATATCTGTTAAATGACCCACTAGAGGTAAATAAGCTTGCAACCATATTTCAGTGAAAATTTCTCAGGTTTTTTACATTAAAATGTAAAATCATGAATACCTAAAAATTCTTGACCATTTGGATTATTTTGTTTTTCAGGATTGACGTATATACAGAGGGTATTGCCGATCTGAGTGACTTGATCATGCAATTGGCACTATGTCCCCCAGATGAAAAAGAAGCCAAGATTTCTTTGATAAAAGACAGGACCAAAAACCGGTACTTGCCTGCCTTTGAAAAAGTAAGTAGGCTCTTTGAAGTTTGGGGACACTGAGTTCCAAGGACAAGAGAAAGGCAGAGGCCCAAGAGGAAGCTCGCTGCAGCACTCACCTTCTGTGAGCCTCCTGTGCAGCTCCCTGGCCCTCAGGGCACTGTATAAAAGTGGCCTGTGTTGGAGCACTGCATGGTCCTGCCTGTCAGGTGGTCCATATACAACAGGGTCCATGGCCACAGCCAGAACTTGATCTGTGGAAGCCTGAGCCACACCAGAGAAGGACCTAGGTCCTGCAGAACACAATGGGCTTCAATTCCAGAGCAAACTGAAGAAAGTGACAGATGGGAAAATATCACACACAGGGAGGTCAGAGAGTGACAGACTGTCAGGACAATATGACAGTACTTCAAAGATGGAGGAGCAGAAGATCCTGAACAAGGACAGTGGTGGAGGGGGGAGGGGAGGAGGTTGATGAAGAGATATTAAGGAAACTGACCAGCAGGAAGTGGGCTCACAGATGCCAGGCTTGGGAGGAGAGCCATGCACACTCAGCAAATGAAGGTGTGTCAGTGTAGACGTAGCTCCTCTTAGTCAGGGCTGCTCTTTGGAGATCAAGAGGTAGATCAAGAACACTCCAGAACTACTTGAACTTCTGTCAAGTAAAGGTAAGAACAAAGCTATGATCCTGGAGGAAAAGGCACCCTACACAGTCCTGAGAGCCCTCACTTTGACCCCCATGTACAAAGCATCACCTTAGTCTTCATTCACCCAGGGAAAAGTCCCTCCCTGCTGCCTCTGCTCTATGGAAGCGGGGGGGGGGGGGTTTGGGGGAGAAAGGGCTCCCACAGGCCCCCCCCTCACTTTGACCCCCATGTACAAAGCATCACCTTAGTCTTCATTCACCCAGGGAAAAGTCCCTCCCTGCTGCCTCTGCTCTATGGAAGCAGGGCGGGTGTTAAGAGCCATCAGGTCCTCACAAGGCCCTCTGGAGTCAAGGTCCCGTCTCATAGGACACAATGCCCAGTGGTCACAGCTTAAATCATCTCTGGTATGAAATTCATGAATTGCACCCACACAAGGAACTATGTACTGATATCATTTTCTTCCTTTTCTAAGACAGGCCCTCTTCATTATGTAGCTCTGACTCTCCTGGAATTCTCTATGGGGCCCGGCCTCAAGCTCACAGGGATCCACCTGCCTCAGCCTCTTGCATGCTGGGATTAAATGTGTGTGCCACCATGCCTGGCTTTCTTTTGTTTTTGAATGTGGTCCCTATGTTTTTGCTCTCTAGACATGTAGAGTGTGAAAAGGTGACCACAAAGCCTTTTAATTGTTCTTTACTTGTAGCTCATGGTGTAACAAGTGCTTTTCCTTTTGGTTATCTGTGATTTTCATACTGCTTTTCATAAACATTTTCATATGTTTAAGTAAGTGCCATATGACTGCAACTAAGAGAGTGTTATTACTCAATCTTCAAAACCCAGAAATGTTGAAGTAAATGCTAAGTAAATACACAGCCACCACTCAGATAGCAAGATTAGCACCGTATGGTATTGGTTTGATGGTGCATGTTCATCTCTGTCTGCTCACATCACTATGAGTCCAGCATCCAAGTGTGGTCAGCACAAAGTTCCTGACAGACTCCATCTCAGTCCACCCTTTGCAGTTCAGGACGTCAGTCATGACACAGAGAAGGGTGGGAGTCACAGCCGACTATATTGTAGTTCAGATTCCAGAGAAGTGAGGAGAACAGACAAAGGAGAATGCAGACACAGGATGTTCTCTGGTGACTGAAGCTCTCTGCAGGTGGAGCCTGTGTCCATGAGAGCCTGGACAGACAGGACAGGGAGAGGGATGTCCTGAAGTTCCAGTGCTCCACCATTTTAAGATAAGGGGAGGAACCATGATGTACCCGGGGCAATGCAAGCCCTTCTCACGTGTGGGAAATGTACATAAGGGTGGATGGTGTGAAGGCCATAGGAACATGGCGATGACAGGGAAAGTTCACCTGAGCTTTAAAGAGGAGGTTTCTTGCCTGACTTCTTGCTCTCCCTTTTGCATCATTGGCCTAGAGAAATGTCTGCAGCTGTATACCTGCCAGGCAGAGGCAGAGTTTCCCCATGGGAGACTTGGGGAAAGTTAGTGGCTCCAGTCCAACTCTGTGTGTTCACAATCTGTCTCCTTTAATTTTGCAGGTGTTGAAGAGCCACGGACAAGACTACCTTGTTGGCAACAGGCTGACCAGGGTGGACATTCACCTGCTGGAACTTCTTCTTCGTTTGGAAGAGATTGACTCCAGCCTTCTGGCCCCTTTTCCCCTGCTGAAGGTGAGATCATATCAGAGAGGCAGACACACACACACACGCCTCTGAGAATAAAATGGTGGCCTGTGGACTGCTGAGGTCCCACCATCAGCCCCTCCAAACTGAGCTACTAGACCCTGGTTTCAGACATGAAAATAATATTTTTCTATATGGAGGTTGGGGGCTGGTACCCCAAGAAGAATATATATGTATTTTTTTTGCAGTAAGAAAGCCACAGGACCCCTTTGTTTTTGTGGGCTTCTTCTGGCCTTCATCTTCCATCTCCTGTCCTGTCTGTGCACACTCAGTGACTGAGCAGGTCTCTGTCATGCTCAATCCCTTCCTCAGCTCTGACTTCTCAGCACTGTGCTTCCCTCTCCACAGCTCCCACCACACTGTCTCCCACCCCCAGTGTCCCCATCCTTATCCCCCAGTGTGAAAACTGGCTGTCAGTTGCTCCTGGTTAGACTTTGATATTTTCTGTCCCCATTTCCAACTCAGGTTCCCATGTCTTCAGTTTTCTTTGGTAGTCTCTCCTGTCACACCTGAGAGACACAGAGCTCTGTGCTCTACCCCCACAAAACCAGATGTACACGGTGTGCCCAGGGTCCTGAGGAGAAGGTGTTGGTGTCAAAGGAGGTTTTAAGGAAGGTTATGCTGACCTATGATTTCTAGCTCTTGGTTTTGTCATTCTTCTCCTGTCTACACTGGAGCTGTTGCAAGGATGCGGGTGGTTGTGTTCTGGTGGGGGCTCTGATGTTTGGACTGTCCACATGAGCAGTTCTGACTCTCAGGCTGTGTTTTCTGGATCACAGGCCCTGAAGAGCAGACTCAGCAACCTGCCCAATGTGAAGAAGTTCCTCCAACCTGGCAGCCAGAGAAAGCCTCCCGCTGATGAGAAAACAATTGAAAAGGCAAAGAAGATTTTCAAGATGAAATAAAACTGTATCGATGGAGCCCACCATACTAGTTTCTGATTTTTTTTTTCTCCCGAAATTGAGAAGCAACTTGGGATCTGACTATTGTGAGAGAATAAGCATGAATAAATGACATTTGTGTCTCAAGTGTTCAAATCGTTGATCTGGGATTGCAGGCTTTACATTCAAAGAGGAAGGCAACAATCACAACTACAAATAAAAGGAAAGCTTGTAAAAAATGAGAAAAAAAGCTAAATAAGAAGAATACTAGCAAAAGAAAAGGAGTAACATCAACGTAGATTAAACTAAAAAGTTTAAAACTAAAATTAATTTAAAGGGGAAGAAATGAAAAGAAATATGGAAAAAAAGAAATTTTGTTTAAAAAAAAAATCACTGCACCTGGCGTTGGTGGTGCACGCCTTTAATCCCAACACTGGGGAGGCAGAGGCAGGTGGATCTCTGTGAGTTCGAGACCAGCCTGGTCTACAAGAGCTAGTTCCAGGACAGCCCTCAAAAAACCAACACCAAACAAACAAACAAACAACAACAACTGCAAGGTTGGTGGACACGCTAGGTGCCAATGAAAGATTTTTTTTTAGAGGAAAAAAATAATGAAGAAAAGAAAAACAAAAAACAAATATTAAATTTTTAAAATAGTGAGAGTTATTCTGGAGAAGTGGAGAGCACAGGTTGCTCTTGCAGAGGACCAGGTTAGGCTCCCAGCATCTACCTGACATTTCACAACCCCCTGTAACCCCAGCTCCATAGGACCCCAGGTCCTCTTCTGACCTCTGTAGCACTGGACACCCATGAAACATGTGCATACATGTAGACAAAACACCTTAACACATAAAATAAGAATTAAAAATATTTTAATAGTAAAAATAAGGGTCAAAATAAAACGCACATTCAAGAATAATAACAATAGCAGAAAATATCTTTGAAATTTTTTTTTCTTTAGCCAGGTGTGGCACATGCCTTTAATCCCACCACTTGTGAGGCAGAGCTACATGGATCTCTGAGTTCAAGGCCAGCCTGATCTACATAGTGAGTTCCAGGACAGCCAGAGCTACAGAATAGCGATGTCCTGTCTCAAAAAATGCAAAACAAGACTCTGTCCTTGCCCCCACTGGAGTCCCCTGACTCCATCATTTCCATTCCACATCAAACCTCCAGGCCCTGTCCTGTCCTGCATATCTTCCATGAGGGCTAGCTTGGTGGGTCTGCCTAATCCTACCGTCTGCATACCTTCCCCTTCCTCAGATCTAGCCTGGGCTCCACACCCGTTACCCTGGTATATTCTGGTGAGCTCTACCTATGCTGTCATCCACCTCCAGCTCAAGCCAGGATGCACATCTTGCACACAAATCAGCCCCTCCCCAGCTGTGGGAAGCACAGAGGTCCTTGTCCTCACAGATAAGCACTAGGGGAACCAGGAATTTTAAACATGCGGGGTTGCCCCTTCAAAGAGAGGGATGTACTACATGCTTTCCTTGTAACTGTATAGGTGTGCTTGCTTTCCCTCTTTCAACCTTAAATCTTAGGTTGAAAGGTAACATCTAAAATTCACATAGAACCACAAAGCAAACCTGAATATATATATTCTTGGATATATATATACATATCCAAAAGTCAAGAAAACAAATTGCTAAATTAAAAATGTCCTGTGGATCTGAACGAAGAATTCTCAAAAGAAGAAATAAAAGTTACTAAGAAATACCTTTAAAATTTTTTTCTTAGCTGGGCGTTGGTGGCGCAGGCAGGTGGATCTCTGTGAGTTCGAGACTAGCCTGGTCTACAAGAGCTAGTTTTAGGACAGCCTCCAAAGCCACAGAAAAACCCTCTCTAAAAAAACAAAAACAAAGCAAGCAAGCAAACAAAAAAACAAAAACAGTTTTTTCTTTGCTCTTAGCAATTATGGAAATAAAAATTACACCAATTTTAAGTTTTAATCTTACCCCATTCAGAATTGCTAGGTACAACAAAACAACTGACATCAAATGCTGAAGAGTGTGTGGGGAAAAGGGAACCTTTTTTCACAAGTGGTAGGATTGCAAACCAGTGAAGCCACTCTGGAAATCAGGGTGGAGAATTCCCAAAAAAACAAAAAATGAATCTGCCATTGGATTTAGCTATACCACTATTGACCATAGGCCTGCCCCAAAAGACTCAACACTATACTCTATAGATATTTGCTGGGTCATGTTTATTGCCACCTTATTCACAACAGCTAGGAAATGGAAACAATGTAAATGTCCTTCAACATACATACTGTAGAATACTATTCAGCTGTGAGAGAACAATGAAATCATGGATGAAACAGGAAGATATTTGAGCGAGGTCATCTAGACCCAGATAGGCAACACCACACCTACTCTCTCATCTGTGGTTCCTAGTTTCAAATCTTCAGGTGTGAATACACAGCCTGGAGTAATCAAAGAAATGAGAAAATTTTAGAAAGGCCTTGGGGGGCACTAGAGGGGAGTAAGCTTCTAAATGTTAGCAAAAACACTCAGAGAACTAGTTACTTAAATGGTTTTCTTTTATTTTTGCTACTATAATGTAATTTGTATCCTTTCCCCTTTCCAAACCCTCGAATGCACCCCTCCATGCTCTTTCCAATTCATAGACTCTTTCCTCACTAACTGTTGTGACAGCCTATACATACGTTTATATCTATCTGCTTTTTAAAACTACTTTATCATTTTGTTCTGTATTTGAAAGCAGGGTCATCCTACATTGCCCAGGATGACTGAGAATTCAAGGTCTTCCTGTCTCTTCCTTCCAGGTCCTGGGATTGAAGCCATGAGCCATCACTCCCGACCTAAGACTTTTCCATCTAAGAGAAGGTAATGTATTCATGATTTAACTTTTACTTAAAATAGTAAGACTCCGTCTCAGACATAAAAAGCCAGCCGCAGTGGTGCCTGCACATAGGGCGTCATGGAGGGTACACAAGCAGGACAGTGGGCTCCATGATAGGCTGGTTTACACAGAGAGCCCAGTATCAAAATAAAAACAACAAAGAATACAGTCTCCTGTAATATACATTTTGACTTATTAACTATGAACTAGATACACAATGACTCAGCACAGTTTACTTTTGACATGCTAAGTCCTGCACTGAGTAGCTCTAAACCACACAGGGTATGGCCAAGAGTCTGTCTGAACACAATGACCCTCTAGCACTCATCCTGCCTCTGTTTGCAGCACCCATCAAGACTATTCCCTCCACCCAGGATTTTACCCGCTCTGGCTGTCCCTGGGGCTTGACCATCAGTTATCCTCATTTGTCCCTCTACATCCCATTGCCATTTTCTCAGAGGCAAGCTTATTATTCTCTTATAACTCTCACCTCTCCATTTCCAGTTGCTGTTCCTCCCCTACCCCACCCCTCGAAAAAACCCAAAAAGCAAACCAAACAAACAAACAAACAAACAAACAAACCATGCTTAGGATTTCCTACCCAGGAGGCTCTATTCTACTTAGTGTGTGTGTGTGTGTGTGGGGGGGACAGGGGGATCCCACGGATCATATCCCGCAAGCATCTTCACGTAAAATCTCCCTCTCAGTCTAACTCAGCTTCTAGAAGCTCCCGGCTGAAATTTCACTGCTCCTGCCAACACCCGAAGGGAACCCTATGACAGACAACCTCCATGAAACTCTGCTGGAATGCAGGTCCAGTTGAGAGCCTCGTCTCCAGCAGGGGGCATACAAGACTATTCCAGAAAAATTTCACGCGCACCCTAATTTTCATGGGGAACCCAAAGGACTATATAAAGATGTATCTTACCTCTTCATCTCACCTGATAAAGATTAAGCCGGGGGTGGGAGGGTGGTGGCCCAGGCCTTTAATCCCAGCACTCGGAAGCCAGAAGTAGGCAGATCTCTTGAGTTCGAGGCCAGCCTCATCTACAAATCAAGTTCCAGGACAGCCAGGGCTACAGGGAGAAAGCCCGTCTCGAAAAACAAACGAAAGAATGAAAGAAAGTGTGTGTGTGTGTGTGTGTGTGTGTGTGTGTGTGTGTG